GGATAGGAATCGTTTCTACCATGGCAAACAGAAGGAATCTCAGAGATCAAGTTATTTTCTTGAACATAAAACTAACCAAAGATCCAAGCATATTGAACTTGTTATCTCTGGTTATTTGGTAGTAATCCACCAAAGGTCTTTGCTATAGTTTTTCACAAAATGAAACATTTGTAGGTAAAATTCAATACCAGTAACAAATCAATCACAATAAAAATGTGAGACTATTTTTTAACATCTCAAATCAAAACAATTATTATTGGATATAAATAGCTTAACAGGTTTTTATCATAGTTTGAGAGTTTAAAAGTGGCAGATCTAAGATGAGTAAAACAATGTAGGAGGATAGGATGGAGAAATGGAGAAATTGGATTAGGACATTGAAGTCTCAGACAGAAGACTCATTCCTAAACCAGTGCTTCCAAACAAGCTTATCAAATTCAAGATGACCATGTCTATGGATTTAAACAAGAAATGCTACCATTGGGTCAGTTTCAGTATTCCCACCATAATCAAGATAATAAACATATTCACTCCCTCCAAAATTTTCTTTATGTCCTTTTGTAATCTATCCTTTTCTCCCTACCCACATGCTCCCCAAATTTCTTTTTTTCTAATCTTTCTTCTGTCAATGTGGGCTAATTTACATTTTATAGAGTTTTCTCTAAGTGAAGTAATACAGTGTAGATTATTTTTGTCCATTTTATTTCCATCAACAGAATTAAGAGTCATACATGTTGCTGTGTGCATCAATAGTTCATTATTTTTTATTGCTGAGTAATATTCCATTGTATGGATATACCATGACTTGTTTACCCATTCACCTGTTGATGGGTATATGTGTTGTCTCCAGTTTTTACCTGTTACTAATAAAGCTACAAAGATCATTTGTGTACAGATAATTTTTATTTCTGTTGGAAAATTTTTATTTCTACTTAGGAGAACAGCTGGTTATATGGTAGGCATATTTATAACTTTTTAAGAACTTTTCAAATTTTTTTCTAAAGTGTTTGTACCTTTTTACATTTCCGTAAGTAATGTGTGAGATTTCTAGTTACTTTTCATTCTGTCAATACTTTTAAATTTTATCTATTCTCATGGGTAGAGTAGTGACAGATTGTGGCTTTAATTTGCATTTCCCTGATGACTGATGATGGTGAGCATATTTTCATGTGTTTATTCACTGTCGGTATATCTACTGCAGTGATATGTTCAAATCCTTTGCCAATTTTTGATTGGGGTTTTAGTCTTCTTATTAAATTGTAAGAACATCTAATAATTTTTGTTGTTAATCTTCACCCAAGGATATTTTTCCATTGATTTTTAGAGAGATCAGAAGGGAAGGAAGGAGAGAGAGAGAGAGAGAGAGATTGATGAGAGAGAGACACATTGATTGGTTGCCTCCCACATGACCCCAAATGGGGCAGAGATCAAACCTGCAATCCAGGTACATGCCCTTGACAAAATCTAACCCTTAACCCTTCGGTCTGAGGGCTGACACTCTAACTGGTGAGCCAAACCGGCCAGTTTTTACCATTTTTTAAAAAACATATTTTTATTTATTGATTTTAAGAGAGGAAAGGAGAGACAGAGATAGAAACATTGATGAGAGAGAACATTGACTGGCCAACTCCTGCATGCCCCCCACTGGGGATTGGGCCCACAACCTGGGCATGTGCCCTGACCAGGAATCAAACCGGTAACCTCTTGATGCACGGGTCGATGCTCAACCACTGAGCAACATCGGTTGGGCCACCTTATCATTATTATAAAGTCTTTAAGAGAAGCCTTATTGAGCTATAACTCACATACCATACAGTTCACCCATTTAAAGTGTATACTTAGCTTTCAGTTTATTTAAAGTTGTATAATTATCATCATATTTAATTTTAGAACACTTCATCACTGAAAAAAGAAACCCCACACTCTGTAGCCATCAACCCACATTCTCTCCACCCCCCATCACTATCCCTAGGCAACTACTAATCTATTTTCTTTTCCTATAAATTTGCCTATTCTGGGTTTTTCATGTAAATGGAGTGTTTTGCTTTTTGTTTTTGTGACTGGCTTTTTTCACTTAGCATGTTTTCAAGGCCCATCCATGTTGTAGCATGTATCAGTATTTCAATTTTTTTTATTATGCCATAATATTCCATTATATGCATATATCACATTTTATTTATCCATTCGTCAGTTGGTGGACATTGGCTTGTCTCCATCTTTTGCTTATTATGAGTAATGCTCCTATGGACATTCATGGCCAAATTTTTATGTGGACATAAAGTTTTTACTCCTAAATAGATACTTAGGAGTAAAATTGCTGTGTCATATGGCAACTGTATGTGTAGCCTTTTGAGGAAGTACAGACAGTTTTCCGAAGCAGCTGCACTATTTTATATTCCCACTAGCAGTGTATGAGGATCCCAATGTCTCCACATTCTTGCCAACACCTATTATCTGCCTTTTTGATTATAGTGGAGATGAAGTGTTATCTCATTGTGGTTATAAAGTGTCTTTTGAAGAACAAAATTTTTCATTTGAAAAAGTCCAATTTGTTGATTTAGTTTCTTTCATGGATTGTGTTTTTCATATTGTATTTAAGAAATCTTTGGAAAGCCCATGATTTTTCTCTTTTTTTCCTGGATGTTCTATACTTTTAACTCCAAATATGTCTATGGTCCATTTTGAGTTAACTTTTGTATAAGGTGTGAGGTAAGGGTTGATGTTCACAGCTTTGCATATACAGGTAGCTATCTGATTTTACCAGCAACATTTGTAAAAAAGATTATTTTTTCTTCTCAGAATTGTCTTGGGACCCTGGTAAAAATCATTTGAGGGTCTATTTTAGTACTCTTATTTTTAAGCAGCCTTACTCCAGGGATAATTTTGCTGCAATATTGACACAATATCTTCTTGATCTTAAACCTAGTGCCTTTACATTAAAAGGTTTTTCCATTCTGGCCAAGTGGAACCTGATCTATTCCCAGCCCTGTGTGAATTTGAGGGATTTTCCCATTTGTTTCTTTTAGGTTGTTCTTTTCCTGGTCTAGTGTAGTTTCTTCACATGCAAACACTAATTGGTACTCATCCCAACATTCGAAGGAAACTATTTGCAGACCTCCAGCGTATGTGTGCTCATGCTCATGTCTCTCTCTCTTTCCCCCTCCCCTTTTCCGTCCTCACCCTCCTCTGCATCAGCCTCCACTTCAGCACTCTGGCCTGAAAACTCCACTGCCTTAGCCTTCCTGAATTCTCATCTGTCCTCTTCATTCGGAGAAATCAATGGACTTTACCTAGGTTCCCCTCTTGCTGAAGTGCAGCCTGGAAATTCTCTCCAGTCTGTTATTTGGGGCAATTGCAGGGCTCACTTCCTTCATTTTCATTTACTCAAGGATGGCTTCTTATGTTGTCTGTACCCAGTGCTTCATACTCCCCTTTTTCATCCTAGGTAGTGTCTCTGGCAGAGGCTGCTGCTCAGCCCTGCAACCTGTGGACTCTGTTGACATTATCTTCCCCCAACACCTGAGCCCTTCCTGTTGTTGCCCTCTATGGGGCCTGCCTAAACCCTATTGGACTTCCCAGCAATTCCACTTCCTGTGTAACCATTTCCTCTGTTTGGAATATCTAGAGTGGTTGTTTCCTGGTGGGGCCTTAGCTGATAGAGTTCCCCAATAGGAAAGAGAGTTGTATTTAGTAGAATACAGGTGAGAGTATTTAGTAGAATGGCGACCCCATTTAACTAAACCTATTAGCACCATCCATGGTGCCACTTTCCCACCAGCAAATCCTGTTGGCTCGACTTTATGAACATACCTAGAATCAAGTATTTTTCTCCACTTCTACTACTATCACCACTTTAGTCCAAGCCATCATTAACTTTCACTCAGATTACTGCTTGGATTACTGCAATGGATTTCTAACTAGTCTCCCTAACCCCATAGTTTACACTAGCAGTTTTCTTTTTTAAAAATATGTTTTTATTGATTTTTTTTTTCTTTAGAGAGAGAGGAAGGGAGAGATAGAAACATTGATGTGAGAAACATCCATCAGCCCCCTCCTGCACGCCCCCTACTGGGGACGGAGCCTGCAACCCAGCAGTACCCTGACTGGGAATGAAACAGGGACCTCCCAGTCCACAGGAGGACTCTTAACCCAGAGCCACACCAGCTGTGCTAAAGAGATCTTTCTAAACTCTAAACCAGATTATGTGCCTTTCTATTGAAAACCTTCCATTAGCTTCTCACCTTGTTCAGAAGAAAAAGCCTAGTCTTTACCATTGGCCCTCAAGGTTGTCAACTGTCTCCAGGGCTTCTTTTTCTACAACTGTCAGCACATTCCGTTCAGTGACACTCACCTCATGGCTTTTGCTAGAATCAACCAGGACTATTACTGCCTCAGGGCCTTTGCACATGCTAGTCTCACACCCCAGAATGACTTTCCTCCAGTATAAACATGGCTCTCAATCACCTTCCTGTTTGTGTTTAGATGTCACTTCATCAGTCCTTTTCTGATTACCTCACATATAACTGCGTTCTCCATTATTTTACTCTTTTTGTTGTTCTTCATAGCACTTTCTACTACTTTTTATGTTGCCTTTCCATTGAAAACCTTCTCATTAGAATGTCTCTTCTCATTAGAATGCAAGCAGGAGGACTGGGACCTTGTTTGGTTGGCTGCCATAGCCCTAGTGTCTCAATAATGCTTGGCATAGTTAGTAATAAAAACAAGATGTTCATCAAGATTGCTCTGCATCAGACACAATGCTAAGTGCTTTACATGGGCAGAGGGTGCCTGCCCACAGGAGCCCCTGGTGCAGGGCAGAGGCGAGGCGGTTGCCCATGCCTTTGGAGCCAGAGCCGGGTCCGCCCTGGGCTGGGAGGTGGAGACCCGGCGGCCGCACTGCTAGGGCCCGCCCACGCGCATGCTCAGCGGGGCCGCGATCTCGTTCCGAACGAAGGTCTCCAGGCTGGGCGGGGCCTCCAGCCGGGGCGGAGTCTCCAGGCAGGGCGGGGCCTCCAGCCGGGGCGGAGTCTCCGCCGCACTTCCCTGCTGCTCTAATTCGCGACGCTAATAGCCTGAGCTGCTTGCGGACGTCTGTCCTCAGGTCGGACTGCCTCCGACCCCTGCAAGTCCCCCCTCCAAGTCCTGGCCTCGGCGAGCCGCACTGCGGCTTTGGACAGCGGCCCGCGAGAACGTCTGCAGGTGAGTGCCACCCCTCTGCTCCGCTAGGTGCGGGGCGGCACCGGGTCCGCCTCCGCGGGCTCCGAGGGCAGGGTTGCGTACCCTCCCGGGGGCTCAGTCTCGCCGTCCCTCAGCCTCTGCTGGCCGGCAGCACCCTCTGCGTTTGGCCGGGCGTGTCTTGCCTGACCACCTGCGGGTGGCCCGAGGCACCTCCCAACTGCCCAGGAGTAGGGAGCCTTGTGAAGTTGTCCCCTCTCCTCGGTGCCCTTCGATTTCCCAGACAGGCGCATGAGCCGCTCGGTGGCGCTGCCCAGAGCCTTCAGACCGTGGTGACAGCCAGGATCCTCGATTCCTAGCTCCTCTGCTTCCTTGTTGTCCGCTACTCGCGTTAGCTCCTTCAGGCAGCCTGCCCGACCTAGCGAGCTAGTTAGCTCAGGGCGTGATGGAGAGTGGACTTTATTGTTGGTCTTGCTGAAAACTCTGGCCATAACCAGTTGACACTTTGCTTTCAGTACTTAACTTGGGTGAACCCCAGTTTCCTGGGGGGAAAAAGGATTTGAGTGTACTGCATAGGGTTGGTAGAGGAGTAATTAAGATAGTAGGTCTTAAGACCCCATAGCAAGAGATTGTTCTTGTTGTTGTTGTTATTATTATTATAAAGCTAAATGACAAGCTGCTTTGGAGCTCTTCTTCAGCCACAGAACCATCGGACCGCCCCTGTTCCATATTGCAAAATTTATGTTGTGCATCTAACATGTGAGTGACACTTGGTTAGGTTCTGAGGGGTTCAAAGTTGTATTAGACACCCACTCTGACCTGGAGCTGGGGTAAAATGATGGCAGATAAGCACTTCATTGGATTGTTGGAACACAGAAAGTAGTGAGGTTAAGTTGCTAAGGGAACCCAGAAAAGCACTCGAAATCCAGCCCTGGAATGTTGCCCCAAAGGGGCTTTTTTCTCCATTTACACTTGTCAGCATTCATCCCTGCAAGAATCACTTCACTAGCACGCTGAGAAACGTGCTTAGTGTTATGTTGGAAGGAAAAGTTAGCTGGCTGATATTTTCTTGAGTAGCTTCAGCTGTTACCCCTTGGAGACGCCTCTGAGGACAGTTGGTCCTAGTTCTTCTGTAGGACAGGTGGTGAACCGAAAGCAGCCCCTGCTGGATGCCTCGTTGTTTTAAACTGTGTTTATAACCTTTCATTTTTTTTTTCTCAATCTACTCCTTATTCCCTAGTAACAGTGGAGTTTTAGGAGGTTGTATTTATGATAAAAGGTAGCCAAGGACCGTACAGCCCTTTTAACCACCATAAAGAAATACAAACCTTTGAGTAAATGCAAGTGGGCTTGCTTTGCCAGTGCAGACCCCAAGATAACATTCCCCCTATCTACAAATTCAGGGTTCAACACTGCTTAGAGAAATAAGTGTAGCACCAGCAGGAATTGCATCAACAAAAGGTTTCAGTTCCTTTTGCAATCTCCTGAGAACCAATTTTTTAAGCTTTGAATAACACAGGCCTACCTTGGAGATATTTTGGGTTTGGTTCCAGACCGAATAAATCAAGCTCTGTTGCCATACTCCTCAATTGCGGTGGTCTGAAGCCAAACCCATACTGTCACCAAGGTATGCCTATCCTCAGTTTAAGCATAGTCTTTTAAAAACAGCTGTATTCTATTATTGACACACAATAAAAATATATGTGCACAACTGTGAAGCCATCAGTAAATTCAATATAATAAACCTATCTGTCACCCCCCCCCCCACACACACATAAAGCTTTCTTGTACATAGCCCTTTGTAACCCCTTCTTTCTACCCCCTTTTCCCTCAGGCAGCCGTTGATCAGTTTTCTGTCAATATAGATTAGTTTTATATAAATGGAATCATATGTAGTTTTTTTTTTTTTTTTGGTCTGACTTTGTTCACTCACTGTAATTATTTTGAGATTCATCCATTTTATTGTGTTCATTCCTTTGTATTGCTGAATAGTGTGTATATACCATAATATGATTATCTATTCACTCATCTGGGGCATTCGCATTATCCAGTTTTGGGCTATTACACACAATCTGTTATAAACATTTTTGTACGAGTCTTTGTATGGGCATACATACATGGATCTTTATAAGTGATTATATTTATTTAAAAAAATCTAGGAGGCCTGAGCTGTAGTCCCAGCCTTACCTCTAACTATCTGGGTGTCCTTCAGAGAGTCATTTCACTTTGCCTTTAACATCCATCCCCAAGTCTTTGCCTTGCTGTGATTTTGTGCCCATCACTGCCAGAAACTCGATGGTCTTTGTTGATGGTTGGAGGGGCTCAGAAGGAGGGATGGGTGGTCGTCTTTCCCTCTGTTTCTCTTGCAGGCTCTTTTCTTTCATTTCACTTTTTCCCCTTGGTGACAAATTTGAATCATGACATATAATTGTAAGCAAGGATGGAAGTGAGGGAAGAGTGGGTGGCAAGAGCTAAAACTGGCTGAACTTAAAAATCTTTAAATCACAGTTAGAGAGGGAAAGGTGGGAGATTAACAAGCTCGGGACTTTTGAGGATCTTCCTTTTTTTCAGCCTCGTTTCTTCCAAGTCCTCCCTTCTGTTATTTCTCCAGGAGCAATTTATTTAACCTCATGATGAAGTGGTGAGTGGGTGTACGAGACTGTAATGATCACCTGTTAACTGGGGGTGGCCGTTGGGGAGGTTCCCTAGTAAATAAACAATTCCTTTTTTTCTTTTTACTTCCAGATATGACTGGCATTATTTTTTTGTGTGTTCTCCCTTTACCTAACTTTAGCTTGCCCTAAACTTGGTTCTGAACTTTTTTTTGGAAACATTAATCTATCGACATAATTATGTGTAGTGAAATTTGGACAGATAACAATAGACTGTTTTAAACAGAATGAAAATGTGGCTCCTGGGTTTGGTGTTCTGCTTGGCCTTTGGGACCCTGCATTCCGAGACATCCAGAGGGAAGTGGACCCCTCTGGATCCCGAAACAAATATGAATGTGGTGAGTTTCTCAAAGTCATCTGCTTTTAAAATGCATGTGACAAATGTTAAATATTTTCTCCCATTTAGTTATGTGGGCTATGTGGAGCCCACACTCTAATCCCTTTATATCTCACAGTGCTTTTCCTGTTCACTGACTCTTAGACTCAGTGCTCGGGACTTGGCCGCCAGGTCATGTGCATTTTACAGATTGAGTCCTATTGTTAAAACTTTGTACTTCTTACTGAGATGAGTGATATTTATGTATCTCTGAATTTGAAGAACAATAAAAAAGTGTCAATATTTTGTAAAAATGTTACTGAGTGCTGCTTTTACAATACATCGAACAAGGATTGTGATTAGCAATGTTCGATAAAAAACGAAGATACCTCAAAACACATTTTGTTAGAACAAACAAGTAAAAATAATCCCTTGAGTAAGTAAAACATTTCAAAGTATTTATTCTGAAGTAACCAATAAAGTCTGGAAATACCACATTTATGCATAAAGTATTGGGAAAACAGAGATTCCTGAAAACAAAAAAAAACAAGAACAGGATAGGACCTCTAAAAATAAGGATAGTAGATCCCAGTATTAGCTGGCACATTTAGAAGAGAAAGAAGGAAGACTGTTTATTTGTGCTTGGAAGCCAGCACAGAAACAAAGAGGGCCAAAGGTCCAGTAAAATGAGTCACACCTGGTGTAGAACATGCAAGAATGATGAAACCCAATTTTGATTAACCAAACACCTATGGTGAAACACATGGATAAACAAGTGGAGGATATACTTTTGTGATGGGTGTGCTACTGGATTCAGCATGAGGCTAAAATTTCAGCCACAATTTTTAAAAAATGTTTTTATTAAACTTTTTTTTGAGAGAGAGCAAAGGAGAGAGAGATAGAAACATCAGTGTGAGAGAAACATCAGTCAGCTGCCTCCTGCATGCCCTTCACCGGGGATTGAACCATCAATCCAGGCATGTGCCCTGACTGGGAATTGAACCAGGACCTTTCAGTCCACTGAGCCACACCGGCCTGGTGATCACAATGAACTTCTTAAGTAAAGCCTGGAGAATGTCTTTGACAAGGTGTCCTCTCCTTTGCCTGTAAATATGGGTGATCTTGTCAGATTCTGTCCATAGAATTTCTGTTATAATTTTTATTTTTTCTCCATAGAGTGAAATTATCTCTTACTGGGGATTTCCTAGTGAGGAACACTTTGTCGAGACAGAAGATGGATATATTCTTTGCCTCCACCGAATTCCTCATGGGAGGAAGAACCATTCTGACAAAGGTATGAGTTTTTTCTGTCTCGAGATAGGAAAGCTTGGAATTTGGCCAGTTTTTATATCAGGAACCAGATTAAGGAATTCCTAGCGAGATTACTTTAAATTGTTAAATAGCAGAATAAGTATCTGATTTTTATTCAATCACCTCTCTAGGTGTAGCTTAATCGTTAACATTTTCTGTTTATAGACACTTTCATTGGTAAATTAAGGTTGAGATTAAGGTAATATAATAACTATCTCTTCTTCAATTTAATTTTTTTTAAAATATGTTTTTATTGATTTTTTTTAGAGAGAGGAAGGGAGTGAGAGATAGAAGCATCCATGTGAGAGAGAAACATCGATCACCTGCCTCCTACACACCCCCACTGGGGATCAAGCCTGCAACCAGGGCATGTGCCCCAACCACAAATTGAACTGGGACCTCTCAGTCCATGGGACAATGCTCAGTCCACTAAACCACACCTGCCAGGCTTACTTAAATTTTTATATGAGCAGAAGGGCCTTCTTTGCCTCAGTTCATTCCCAAATTATTGTTCAAAGCAAACTTAAAAACCTTGTATTAATAATGTAAGCTTTGGCCCTGGCCAGTTCTGCTCAGTGATTAGAGCATCGGCCTGCAGATGGGAGAGTCCTGGGTTTGGTTCCTGCTAAGGGCACATACCTTGGTTGCAGTTTGTCCCCAGCTTTGGTTGGGGTCGTGTGGGTGGCAACCACTTGATGTGTCTTTCTCAGGTTGATGTTTCTCTTTTTCTCTCCCCCCCTCTCTCTTTCCCTCTTGTCTATCTGAAGATAAATGCAAAACTGTCCTCGGGTGAGGATTAAAAAAAAAAAATGTGAGCTTTGTATCATAATTTGTTTTTTTCTTAATATAATCTGATTTATCAATTTTCTTTCTCATAAATTCTAACTATAACAAGGCTTTTAATAATGCTTAAAGTGGCCCATGATCTTTTTGAAATTTAATTTCTAATTCTTGAGATATTTAAAAAAATTATTTTTATTTATTTTTGTTATAGATGTTTCTTCTTTTTCTCCTATTGACATCCTCCTCCCAATCCCCCCCACCCCTGGTACCCAGCTTTGTTGTTTATGCCCATTGGTTACACATACATGCATATAAGTTCTGTGGTTTATCTCTTTCATCTCTCCCCCCACCCACTTTCTGAGGTTTGTCAGTCTGTACCCTACTTCTATGTCTCTGGGTCTATTTTGTTCATGAGTTTGTTCTGTTCATTATATTCCACAAATAAGTGAGATCATGTGATATTTTTCTTTCTCTGCTTCACTTGTTTCACTTAGAATAATACTCTCCATGTCGTCTCAAGGATAAGAGATCTTTCCTTCTTATAGCTGCATAGTATTCCACTGTGTATATGTATCACATCTACTTTTTTATCCACTCAGCTATTGATGGACACTTGGGTTGTTTCCAGATCTTAGCTGTTGTAAATAGTGCTGCGATGAACATGGGGGTACATATATTCTTTCTGATTTGTGTTTCAGGCTTCTTAGGATATATTCCTAGAAGTGAGATCACTGGGTCAAATGGCAGTTAAATTTTTAACTTTTTGAGGTAATACCATATTGTTTTCCATAGTGGCTGCACCAGTCTGCATTCTTACCAGCAGTGTACTAGAGTCCCCTTTTCTCCACACCCTCGCCAGCATTTGTTTGATGATTTGTTGATGGATGGCAGCCATTCTGACAAGTGTGAGGTGATACCTCATTGTTGTTTTAATATGCATCTCTTTGATGATTAATGACGCTGAGCATTTTTTCATATCTCTTGGCCATTTGTATGTCCTGTTTGGAGAAGTATCTCTTTAGATCCTCTGCCATTTTTTTTTTTTTTTTTTTTTATCCTCACCTGAGGATATTTTTCCATTTTTTGTACAGATAGAGTGGGAGGGAGAGAGAGGAAGGGAGAGAGAGAGAGAGAGAAACATCGACGTGAAGGGACACATCGAGTGGCTGCCACCTGCATGACCAACCAGGGCCGGGGACAAACTGCAACCGAAGTACGTGCCCTTAGCGGGAACCGAACCAGGGTCTCTCCGGACCGCAGGCCGACGCTCTAACCGCTGAGCCAAACTGGCCAGGGCCCCTCTGCCATTTTTTAATTTGGTTCTTTGTCTTTCTTTTGTTGAGTTGTATGAGTATTCTATATATTTTTGGAAATTAACCCCTTATCTGATGTATCATTGGCAATTATGCTCTCCCATACAGTGGGTTGCCTTTCCATTTTGGTGGTTGTTTCTTTTGCTGTGCAGAAGCTTTTTAGTTTGATGTAGTACAATGTAGTACAATTTTCTCCTTTGTTTCTCTTGCCTTAGGCGTTGTGTCAGTGAAAATTCTGCTGCATATGATGTCTGAAATTTTGTTGCCTACATTTTCTTTTAGGATTTTTATGGATTCACAAGTCACATTTAAGTATTTTATCCATTTTGAGTTTATTCTGGTGTATGGTGTAAGTTGGTGGTCTAGCTTCATTTTTTTTGCATGTAGCTGTCCAATTTTCCCAACACCATTTATTAAAGAGGCTATCTTGACTCTACTGTATGCTCTTGCCACCTTTGTCAAATATTAATTGACCATATTGTCTTGGGTCCATTTCTGGGTTCTCTGTTCTGTTCCACAGGTCTATGTGCCTGTTCTTGTGCCAGTACCAGGCTGTTTTGATTACAGTGGCTTTGTAGTATAATCTGATATCTGGTATTGTGATCCTTTCTACTTTGTTCTTCTTTTGCAAGATTGCTGTGGCTATTTGGGGTCTTTTTTGGTTTCATTTAAACTTTTGGAGTATTTGTTGTAGTTCTGTGAAACATGTTGATATTTTGATGAGGATTGCATCGAATCTATAGATTGCTTTGGGTAGTATGGATATTTTAATGATGTTAATTCTTCCAATCCATGCACAAGGTATATGCTTTCACTTTTTATATCTTCTATTTCTTAATTCTTGATATTTTTATGATTTAAAAATATATACTCTTAAATTTTCTTCTAATAAGCATGTTACAAAAATTAGTAGTGAGCTTTAGTGAAGACTTCTATTTTTTTCTTCTGCTTAAAACACGCAAAACATATATTTTATTTCAGAGAGATCATATAATCTTGGTTTCCTTCTTTTGTTAAAGTAATTTATCTTTATTGTTGAAAGTATTACAGATGTCCTATATTTTTCCTCCTCCTGACCCCCTTTACCCCACTCACACCACCCCCAGGCTTTTATCTGTGGATTATTTAGATTCCACATATAAAGAAACATATGTATTGATATACATTTCTCTTAAAAGTGGTTAGTTGACTAATATAATTAGTAATGTGAGTCATTACTACAAAATGGAGGGATCCTCAGTATAAACGAGCTTAGAGAATGTGCCTCCTCCTCTTTAAAAAAAAAATTTTTTTTTCTTTATTGATTTTACAGAGAGAGGAAGTGAGAGGGAGAGAGAAATAGAAACATTGATTGGCCGCCTCCAGCATGCCCCCCACCGGGGATCAAACCCACAACCTGGGCATGTGTCCTGACCGAGAATCGAACCGGTGACCTCTTAGTGCATGGATTGATGCTCAGCCACTGAGCCACACCGGCCAGACATCCTCATCTTTTTTTAATCACTGCTTCCAGGCTTCTCTGTTCATACAGCAATTAAGCAAATAGTGCCACATGGCCTTCGTGTATGTATCACGGCTATAGCAGGGGAAGGTGCTGTGCCCTGGAACATGAGGAAAGTGAGCTTGAGTCTTGATTTGCTCCCAGGTGGTAGAAGACCAGTTAGCAGATCAGTGCCAGATGTGTGTCAGCCCCTAAGTGTTTGTGTGGTTTCACATCTGTGGGCCTTGTGTTCTTTACCTGTAAAAATAATTGCTTGGCTGGAATGATCTCAAAGTTCCCCTTCAGTCTTTGTTACTCTCTGTTTCTATGGGGTATATTTTCTTTTCTTTTTGTTTTGATTTGTTTCGGTAGAGGTGTAGAGCGGTGGATACCCTTGGTCTTCAAAATGGGGAACAGAGACAGAAAGTACCCTACATGTGGTTATAGCTTTGGGTCCTCACCTTCTTCCTTGGTTCTGCAGAGGCGCCCCTGTGGGGGATCAGCGGTGTGTATATAACACCTGCTGTGAGCTAAGCTGGGTGGGGGGAGTTTTAAGGACATCTGTGACAGCTGACTCAGTTATCTAAGGAATCTGGTTTTCCCGAGCACTCTAGGGCAGAGGCTCTTCACCATCCTTCTCTCATATTCAGGGACAGCGTTGTTAGTGGTGTTATTTTGACTCATTTAAGCCAAATAGACAAAAAGAATTTATAAGATCCTTCACACAGAACTCATCTTCTCATTCATGCCACTTCCTCTTCTGACTTCTTCTTCTGTTAATTACACCATTGCCCTCCTAATGACCTAGACCAGAAACTGTAGAATCATTCCTGACCGCCATCCTCCAGTAGCTGTCGGATCCTCTAGGCTGCCCATGGGATGTGGCTTCAGTTCATCCCTTCCTTTGCCTTGTGAGGCCGCCACCCTACCTTTTTCTTCTTAAAAAAAAAAAAAAAATTATATTTAGAGAGAGGGAGAGAAACATCTATGTGAGAGAGAAGCACTGATTGGCTGTCTCCTGCATGCACCCTGACTAGGGATCAAACCCGCAACCTGTGCATGTGCCCTGGCTGGGAGTCAAACATGTCACCTTCTGGTGTACGGGTTGATCCTCCAACCAACTGAGCCACCTGGCCAGGACACCACCACCCTACCTTATGTTCTTGTCACTATTTAACTGGATGCCTGAAATAAGCTCAGAACCTGAGAGAGGCTTGAGCTACTTCCATTTTTAAGGCTCCCTATATATTAAAAAAAAAAAAAATTTTTTATTCACACCTGAGGACATTTTTGTATTCATCTTCAGACAGAGCGAGAGGGAGAGAGAGAGGAAGAGAGAGAGAAACATTGATGTGAGAGAGACACACTGACTGACTGCCACCCCACACAACCCCAACTGAGGCCGGG